CCTCGCCAACGAGCGCGCCGTCTTCGAGGACCTACGCGCCGGGTGCCAGCTCGCGCTGGAAAAGTACCCGGAGACGGAGGAGGAGGACGCCAAGCTGATGGGCAACGCAGGCGCGCGCGCTGCGGCCCGCCCCCCCGCGCCCCCCCCCCCCCCCCTCCGCGCGGCTCACCGAACCGCGCCACGCTCCTCCCGCGGCAGCCATGTTTGCCACCCTCAGCCGGCGCCAGCGCATGGCGGTCAAGCTGCGGCGGAACGAGAAGCGCATCCTGCTCCGCACGATCCGCGTCTGCGAGGAGCTGGCCGAGCTCGATGTGAGCGAGCAGGCGAGACTATAGAGGGGTGGTGCCGCGCGAGGGGTCCCCCGCGAACATGTTTTTCTTCTTTTGGGGTGACGCGTGAATAGATAGAGTTGCGCGACACACACCGAAGGTGTCAATCAACGCATTCGGCTGCTTCGGGTGAGCGATCAATCAATCACAAGCAGAAGCACAACCGCGCAAATAAATAAATAAATAAAACGGGCAAACTCTGAGACGAGATGGGATTTAGGGACATGTGTCCCCGCCCTGCACGATCTTGGTGTGAGGGATCTTCAACAAACAACAACCGCCAACCGCGCAAGACCAAAAGAGCTCACTACCTACGGCTTTATACCGACCGTACCGCGTATACGCCTCAGCGGGCATACTAAACTAAAGCCGTACTCGAGAGTAGCACCCCACCTCGATCTTACGTTCATTCATTGCTGAACTCGCACAAAAAGCGCCTTGCCGGCCGGGGATTGCCGGCCGTTCGCTCATTTCCCGAGAACACCAGCACGAGCGCGCTTCGAGGCTGTAACCGTTCCAGACTCCTTCATGCTGCTCACACTATCCTAAGCCGTCTGGAAAAGAAAGAAGGTTCATTCACCCCTTGCGGTTGTTGGGTGTATGAGACTAAATTAGCTGATGCCGCTCGCGTCAAACAAAGTGATGAGAGTCATTCGTGCAGGCCGACGGCGCGGCCGCTGTGATCGCCAGTCGCGTGCCCAATTTTCAGTGTACGTACTTTTAGCTTACTGGGAGAAAAGAGAGAGGGGGTTGTGTTCTCTAGGCCCCTAGGGGCCCTACGCGCGGCGTGAGAGCTCGGAAGCGAGCTTAGCACGGCGATCGAGGATGGCACGGTTCACCCCCTTCACCGAAGCGATGGAGATGCGTTCCGCGTGGTGTGACACAAATGAGAGGCGGGAGTGGGGAGGGTACGCGGTGCGGTCAGCGCCCGACAGTGTATGCGGCTATTTTGAGGTTTCACTGGATGATTAGGTTCCACGGATTACGCCGACGGATCGCGCCGAGGACGGGGTGAGTGCGAGGCCTAACAACCTGAACAATCGAAACTTGGCCCCGGCCCGACAGGTACTACCGTTCGAACCAGGTCTTGCATGCGTCGCCTGGGAGTGGACTCCCGACGGTGCCAACCGTGACCCAGGAGGAGGCCATTGCCGCGTGCTCTGCGGAGCTAGAGTACGAACTGTCGGTGCGATCTTGCGTCTTCGACGTCATGTGGGGGCGGCAGTCTGCTCCCGTGCTGGGGCTTTGACCACCATCTCTTCACACCTCCACCTGTGAGCAGGTGGAACACGCAGCTCTCCGCCAGCAATGCAACCGACGGGCGGACCTCTGTCAAGGCGAACGTGGATTACTACGTCCAGTGGGAGGCGGATACGGTGGCGCTCCGCAAGCTGACCAAGGTCGAGCCGCTGAAGCGGTATGACCCCAAAGAGGTGTTCCGCCAGGTTGTGCAACTGCCTTTGGCGAGAATCCAGATCGAGGATTGAGAGACTGCGGGTTGACCCGCCACAGCGATGCCGACAGTCCACCGAGGCAACTGTTGGGAACGGGTTGGGCGCGGGCCCGCCCTCTTACCGGGGCTAACTGTTGAGAGGACTGCGCTGTGGACAAAGCCACCCTGTGGGCATTGCGGGAGCGCGCTCAGAGATCGGTGGCGGCGCGGTGGAGCGGTGGCGTCTCTGAATCGCGGTGTGCAGCAGCGCGGGCACGGCGGGAGCGCATCACACACCTCTCCTTAAAATCCCTGTGTGGTGGCGGCGTGCCGTCCTCCCATCCCTCCCTTGGGTTGTCTGTTTTCTTTCTTTCTTTCTTTCTGGGCACACTGGCGCGCACGGGCACAAAGAATTTTACAACCGCACGGAGAAAAAAGAAATTGTAGCGGAGAGCAGCTTGGCTGTTGTTGGCTGAGGGAGAAGAAGAGGTGACATGCCCGAGAACTAAGCAGAAGGTGACGAAGCGAAAGGTTGTCCGAGGGGGGGCACACGTGAAGGTGAGTGATACTGAGTGTGAGGCCGGACGTGGCAGCACTCACGCCCGCGCTGGGGAGCCGCTCTGCTGCTGCGGAATCGCGCCGAGTGAAGTGGCTGCGATGATGATGGCGCCAATCTTGACGCTGGGGGGTCAGGAGGCTCCGCCGGGTGGCACGCGAGCATCGCGCGAGCGACACGAACAAACCTCGAGGTCTCGAGGCTGGTATCCGCGTCATGACACCCCTCGATCTACACACACTCTAAGAACTCTCCCGAACTAGCTCACGTCCACGGTTGTACCGCTGAGGATCCCTGATCCCTGACCCTCTCGCCGGAGAAAGAGGGGGATGGGAGAGAGGGAGGGAGGGAGGGAGGGAGGGGGTCTATTTACCTGTTTATCCGCGCGCTCTAGATCATAAACTTGTGTGTCGGTTCCTGGGTTTGTCTCCGCCGTTTTGGTTTCGTAACACTGAACTTTTGGATACACCGCGACGATATGCGGCTCGTCCAACCCTGGCTCCCTATATGCATTGGCCTCCATGGCCCGGGCGCTGGCAGAGTCGTGCGCCGAGGTGGGTAGCGGGTAGGCTGCTCCGCGTGCCCGTCCTGAATGGCGCCTTCCTGGGCACCCTCTCCCCCGACGGCGAGGCGCTGCGCCCGAGGCGAAGCGCGCTGCTCGGCTCGATTCCGCAGGCGCGCCGCTCAAAGGCGGCGGCGGAGGTGACGGAGTTGCTCCGGAGCTTGCGAGCCGTCGATGCTAGGGTGCCCACAGGACCCAAAAAAAGAAAGGAAAAAAGAAATGGGGCACTCCCGATCGCAGCACTTCATGTTGGATAGTCGAGATATTGAGAGTGTGACTAGGAGGGCGGGACGCTGGGGATTCTCAAAGGTATACCCTTGGAATGGCCGGATCCAGCCTTAAATGTACGAGATCGCGCGCGCTTCGCGCACAGCACCGCCTGTTCTCCGCGGCTGTGTGACGACGCGTGCCGTGTGCCACAGCCGCGCAGCCGCAGCATATACAATTACCAAATTTTCGTAAATCTTGTCTCTTGAATATGAAAAGCCTCAATTTCCCAACTTTTCAGTGTACTCTCAGTGTACGTACGTACTTTTAGCTTACTGGGAGAAAAGAGAGAGAGGGTCTCTCTCTCAGTGTATGTAGCTCTTACGTACATTCCCGTAGGAGACTCTGCTGACAGGGTTTGCGATGAGGAGCGACCCGAAGGGTTTCTCGGAGGTTTTCTCAACTTATTTTGCGTAAATCTTGTGCGTTGCATACGGTATGCGCCGTAGCCTCGCCGGATCCTCGTGCCAAATCACTGACCCTCCGCCCTGTTTCAAGTGGGCAGGCAGGAACAGGGCCTGCATCTGACTGACGAATCGAGGGGGGCCTTAGTTTTACCTCACACCCACGGTCTCACAGTGTGCCGGCAGTCGTCGAGCAGTTTGTCGCTCACACAAGCCGCAGCACAAGTGTGACTGAGGCGTGAGGGCCAGTGAGGGCGAGCCCATCGCTGTCACACAGCTGTGGCAGCCGCACATACTAGGCTGTGCCAACTGTGCAGAGCGTGTGAGCAGCAGAGGAGCTGCTCTCCAGGCTTCTGTCGCAAAGAGCTGCATGCCACCCGCGAAGGCGCTGTCGAGGTTCGCCGAGCTTGGGCCCTTGGCGAAATCCGGGGACGCCGCCACACCGACGGAGCGCGTTGGACTTTTCACTCCGTGTGTGGAGAAGTTTACGGGGTGTGGACCCTGAGTTGACCAGGGGTTGTGCGCTGGGCCCTCCTGCTCCGCCGCAGGCGCCTGTTGATAGGTCCATGTGATAGCCCTGGATGGGCAATGCATACGCCTCACTGGACCTCAGATCGCCCGACCGCGTCCCGGTGCTCTGCCGTCGGATTTGTGACGCCGCCGCACCGCGCCGCGGCCGGGGCCCTCCGGAGGCCGAGGATGGCCGTGGCGGACCGGGACGAGCTCTGGGAGGGGGGGTGTCAGTGAGTATATTGTAGAGACTAACCATGTGCACAATAACTCTCAGTCTAGCTAAGCGAGGGGAGGCGATTCCGGGGCCGTACAGCAGCTTGACGTGCTTCGCCGGCGTGTGGGTGCGTCCCGGAGCGGTGCCGGAGCGCGGCGAAATCGAGGGACACCGTCACCGACGAGCGCGTTGGACTTTTCACTCCGGACAAAGACCGCTGCACAGCGGATGGTATGGGCCGTGCAGCGGTCATAGCGGCGAGGCGCGGGACCGTCTGTGGCGAAGTGGGTCGCGTCCCTCGATTTCCTCAAGCTCAACTCACGGTCCTCTCACGATGAGAAACCAGGTACAGGGGAGGTTGCGTTAGTTTGTCACTCGCCATGCGCGTCCTTGGCTGACCCTCCAAAACTCCCTCCCCGCCGTTCGCGGCTCGGCTTGCGTATGCGGCTGGGAGCTTCGAGGACATGCAGGCGTCCCGCCCCCTCCGGCCATCCCCCCGGCTCCCATGCGCGCGGCCGCGACGCGCTGCGCACCCTCTTCCGCGCTGCACCCGCTCTCGGCATGGCCGTCGTCCGCCGAGATCACCTCCTATTCGCGCCGCAGGTGCACAACCAAGGGCTGGCCACCTCCGTATCCATCATGATGAAGCCAATGGGCCAAAATCGGACTCCGCTCCCCTCCCAGGTGGCCGGAGGGTACACCTCGGGTCGGCGTGCTGGGGGGGGCGCCGGTGCGCAAGCCCACTTTCCGGGCGACCCCGAGGGGGAGGAGGCCGGGCGAGTGGCAGCAACTCACTGTTAGTGTCCCGGGCCGCTGCGGCACCGTTTATACGGCCCCTCGTGATGTCTTTCCGAATTTGCATTGTGAGTCGTCCTCTGGCCAGCCGAGGGGCGCCAGAACGGCATGTGTACTGGTGCTGGGTGCGGGTGCGGAACGGGCTTTTTTTTACTCGCAACCAACTATACTATACAAGGACACCCTCAGGGGGGACACGCGGCGCATGTGCGTCACGTCAGGGTGGAGTTGGCGGTGGCCGAGCGTCGTCTCCAGATCGACTCGCAGCGCGGAGTCGAGGGGTGAAGCGCGTCGCGCTGCGACACTCGAGAGCCGGCGGGATAGCCGTGGGGCGCGGCCGACTTTGAAGTCCTCAAAGATCCGGTGCGCATTCGTCCTCTGAGACCCACGCGTACAGGAAAGGGGCGAGAACGCGGCCATTCTCCATTGACAATCTAAGGCAACCTTGAGCTAGCCCGTTCCTGCACACGGTGCTCCCTCTACCTTACCTTTACCTTACCTTACCTTTTCACTCCGGACAAAAGTGAAAGCGAGACCGCTCTCCGCTGCACACAGCGCGGACGGTATGGGCCGTGCAGCGGTCATGGCGGCGAGGCGCGGGACCGTCTGTGGCGAAGCGGGTCGCGTCCCCGGATTTCCGTCAACTGACAACTCAGCCTCACACCCTCTATTGTGGACTCTCTGTGGGTGAGCGGCACACATCCCCACACGCCACAGTCACAGAATTGAGGCTCTTCTCGGCTCAGCCGTCGCGTATGGTTGCCCTTCCGGCCGCGGGGCG